CGGCTGTTAAGTGATAAAAAACGTGATTGACTTAAAGTTGAATGAAATCTCTAAAAAATCTTCATTTGTTGCCCTATGTCGAAGGGCAAGAATCCACACCCTGCTGCATACGCCCGAAAGCTATGAACTGGAGTTGAAGCAGAGTCAACCCTGCGTTGCGCAGTTCTCAACGGCCACGTTGCGCAGTTTCGCCCGATTAGACACGTTCTCTCGCGCGAACATTCACACTCGCATGCTCGAGCCGTCTGCGTCTCCGCCCATACAGCGTGCGTTGAGGATCTCTCAACGTGCCGTTGCGAACTGCGCAACGCAGGGTTGACTCTGGATAAGGAGCCTCTCTGTTGGGGTGGTTTCAATTTAGAACAAATTTGATGTGGTGTTCTTGAAATGATGACATTCGCATATGTTTCAAACCCAACTTGCTGAACATCTCAAACGACGATGGCTTCCATTCAATAGTTGCTCTTTTATAAGATCTTCATAGTGCAGATACCTTTATATATTTTTCTTATACTGCCAGCACTTACCAAGCTTGCTTTTTTCGTCGTTGCTTTTACGCAGGATTCGCAAGCTGCTTTCCACTTCGCAACATTAAATTTGAGGGTTCTCTCACTTCCATGTTGCACAGCTACTGCTTCTGCTCGGAACCTTATCTTCAGTTTCTTTGAAGGAACATGGGAGCCCTGGGTTCTGTGAACAACTTTTCTGATCCAAATGTTGTGAAAACAAGGGATCTATCTTTTCCGCAGCCTGTATGAGCTATTCTTAGCCATGCCCCTTGTGCAAGTTCCTACTTTCCTGTTAGTATCTCTTTATCTACGTTCTCTGTTTAATTTTAGCTGTGCCGAGAGCATTCCTGTACCCTTACGTGCAGTCTGAGGAAGTTGGCGCTTCTTCTAAGCTAGTGCTCGGAGCCGCACCCCCTTCCAGCAGCTTACAGTGCCTGGCGCCATTGCCCTTCCTTCCCACAAAATGGGCTCACCTCCCCCTCAAGTGAGTTGTTTGTTGGGTCAATGTTTTTTTATTTGTTGTGAAGTTATTTTCCACTGGGAACACATTCTATTGGTAATTATAACATCTATTGTGAATTTATCCGTTATATTGGTATGACCAGTATTATTTGATTCATGCTGTAGCAATGGTCGTAAATGAAAAAATTAATTGGCTGTTCTAGGACTCCTGCAACAAGAACACAATAACCGAAAGGTGCGTACATTTGCTAAAAATGGTTATGTTGTCATGCTTGGCGCTCTTCTCAGACCAGCTTACACAAGTCGACTTCTTGGTCCTGATCATCTCCACGTCAGTTCAGCTCTGTTGCAAGCTTACCTATCTGCTATAATGTCAACCCCTGTTGCATCATAGCGGCTGATATTTGATTTTTTGGTAAGAAGGTTTATAGAGACCTAATCTCGTAAATAGTTTACGTTAGTAAAACTGACTCACATTTATTAGCAAATGTGTGCCAGTTATTGCCATATGACCGTTATCGCTTCGCAACAGTTCCTTTCCACCCCTGAACCAATTAACTTGGGGTGCTGGTGTGGCTTCTAGAATCTGAAAACAAAAAAACAAAAGTGTCACTTTGTGAGGAGCGTCGCCAATTATGACTCACTTTGCACTCGAAAGAGACGCTGTCTCCTTTTTTAACTATAGACTTGCTTTGCTTCAGCTCCACACGGGGAGCAACTGAAACTTCAACGAATTCTTGGAAGTGATACAGAGGCTCGTTTGAGATGACTCATAACGTTGCTAAACGCTTTTGGTGTAGATGCCATCAACTCCATTTCTAAATATAGCAGCTCTCACGCAAAACGTAATATTAACCAGCAACAAAAGCTTTCGCAGCATCCGTATTCACTCCAGCAGCCGAAATTGCTTGACACTCATAGATTCCGACGTCATCTGATGTGGGGTTACGCACGATAAGGTCATCTGTAAATAGGCTCTTGTTCATGTTGCAGTCATAATAGTTCTTTGGAAAAGAAAGTAGAAGTGATCGCTTGTTTTGACACTTATGTACATATGTGTGCTTTCTGAGAATGGTTCTACTCTTTTTCTAGTAAAATAATAAGGTTCTCGATTTCGAGCGAGCTTTACGATGTTAAGGAGTGTGTTTCATGCGAGATGTTTGCATCAATAAGGATGCCAATAAAAGCACGACAACTATGGTGAATTTTTAGCGGGAACCGCTCCTTTCCAGCAGCATTAAGGTCGCTCATAAAACCTTGTTTCTTCGAATCGTCGTACTCTGAGAAAATACAACCACTCGATTTGTAATAAAAAAAACATTATATTCGTCAATTTCTCTCCACATTATTTTGTAAAAGCAGCCAAATGAGATGGAAAATTTGGGTTATTC